AAAAATAAAAATAAAAATAAAAATAAAAATAAAAATAAAAATAAAAATAAAAATAAAAATAAAAATAGCTGTCCTTGGGCTGGGGGGGGTGATCTGATCCTGGAGCTGCTCTCCCTGCCCTTGGCTGCTGCCAGGGAGGAAGGAAAGGAGGAGGAGGAGGAGGAGGAGGAGGAACAGCCTGGGGAGGGACAGGAGCACGTCCTTGCCCTTAGGGGTGGCACTGGGAGAGGGACAGGGACACTTGCAGGTGTCCATCCAGCCATGAGTGTCCCCATCCAAAATGACTGTCACCAACCAGCCATGAGTGTCCCCATGCAGCCATGAGTGTCCCCATCCAACAGGGACTGTCCCCATCCAAAAATCAGTGTCCCCATCCAGCCATGAGTGTCCCCATCCAACAGTGATTGTCCCCATCCAGCAGGGACTGTCCCCATTCAAAAATTAGTGTCCCCATCCAGCCATGAGTGTCCCCATCCAACAGTGACTGTCACCAACAAGCCATGAGTGTCCCCATTCAAAAATGAGCATCCCCATCCAACAGGGACTGTCCCCATCCAACAAGGAATGTCCCCATCCAGAAATGACTGTCACCATCCAAAAATTACTGTCCCCACCCAGAAATTAGTGTCCCCATCCAGCCATGAATGTCCCCATCCAAAAATGACTGTCACCAACAAGCCATTAATGTCCCCATTCAGCAATGAGTGTCCCCATCCAACAGGGACTGTCCCCATCCAACAAGGAGTGTCCCCAACCAGCCATGAGTGTCCCCATCCAGAAATGACTTTTCCCATCCAAAAATTACTGTCCCCATCCAACAAGGAGTGTCCCCACTTAGAAATGACTGTCCCCACCCAACAGTGATTGTCCCCATTCAAAAATGAGTGTCCCCATCCAGGCATGAGTGTCCCCATACAACAGGGACTGTCCCCACCCAAAAATGAGCGTCCCCATCCAACAGGGACTGTCCCCATACAGCAGGGACTGTCCCCATCCAGAAAAGACTGTCACCAACCAGCCATGAATGTCCCCATCCAGAAATGACTGTTCCCATCCAAAAATTACTGTCCCCATCCAAAAATGACAGTCCCACACAGCAGGGATTGTCCCCATCCAGCCATGAATGTCCCCATCCAAAAATGACTGTCCCCACCCAAAAATGAGTGTCCCCATTCAGCAGCGACTGTCCCCATCCAAAAATTAGTGGCCCCATCCAGCCATGAGTGTCCTCATACAACAGGAACTGTCCCCATCCAAAAATAAGAGTCCCCATCCAGTGGTGACTGTCCCCATCCAAAAACGACAGTCCCATACAGCAGGGATTGTCCCAACCCAGCCATGAGTGTCCCCATCCAGCAGTGACTGTCCCCATCCAAAAATGAGTGTCACCAACCAGCCATGAGTGTCCCCATTCAAAAATGAGTGTCCCCATCCAACAGGGACTGTCCCCATACTACAAGGAGTGTCCCCATCCAGAAATGACTGTCACCATCCAAAAATTACTGTCCCCACCCAGAAATTAGTGTCCCCATCCAGCAAGGAGTGTCCCCATCCAACAGGGACTGTCCCCATCCAGCAGTGACTGTCCCCATCCAGAAAAGACTGTCCCCATCCAGCCATGAATGTCCCCATCCAAAAATGATTGTCACCAACAAGCCATGAATGTCCCCATTCAGCCATGAGTGTCCCCATCCAACAGGGACTGTCCCCATACTACAATGAGTGTCCCCACTTAGAAATGACTGTCCCCGTCCAGCAGGGACTGTCCCCATTCAAAAATTAGTGTCCCCATCCAGGCATGAGTGTCCCCATACAACAGGGACTGTCCCCATCAAAAAATGAGTGTCCCCATTCAAAAATTAGTGTCCCCATCCAGCAATGAGTGTCCCCATCCAAAAATGAGTGTCACCAACAAGCCATGAATGTCCCCATTCAGCAATGAGTGTCCCCATCCAACAGTGACTGTCCCCATCCAAAAATGACAGTCCCACACAGCAGGGATTGTCCCAACCCAGCCATGAGTGTCCCCATCCAGCAGTGACTGTCCCCAAATCTCTCCAGCCCCACGATGCTCCCAAGCAGTAAAAAATTTGATTTTCTGCATCCCAGGAATTGTGCCCGGAGCTGCCTGCCCGGAGCAGCTCCCTGCCGGAGATCAATAATGAAATGTTTGATTTGATTTCAGCCTCGGAGAGCAGGGACAGAGACTGGGAAGGGCCCAGCAGATGTGCAGGACGAGGTTGGAGCTGCAGGAACATTTCCAAGGAATGTCCTCCCTCTTTTCCAGCCTGGGAAAGCATCTCTGGAGCAGAAATAACCCCAGGGAAAACCACCCACTGCTCCAAGCCCTCCAACGCCTCTGGTGCACAGTCATGGCCCAAAAATGTTCCTCATTTCCCTCCTTCATTCTCAAAAAAACCCTCATTTCTTATTTCCCACTTTGTTTCCCAAAATTTCCCTCCTTCTTTTTAAAAATTCCTTCTCCTTTCCCTCCTTCTTCCCAGAAAACATTTCTCATTTCTCTCCTTCTTTCCCAGAAAACATTTTTGATTTCCCTGCTTCTTTACCAAAAACCCCTTCTCATTTCCCTCCTTCATTCTCAAAAAAACCCATTTCTTATTTCCCACTTTCTTTCCCCAAAATTTCCCTCCTTCTTTTTTAAAAAAATTGCTTCTCATTACCCTCCTCCTTTCCCAGAAAATATATCTCATTTCTCTGCTTCTCTTCCAGAAAAACATTTCTCATTTCTCTCCTTCTTTCC